TGCAATTGTCGCCTCTGCAAAGAAACTGAATAAATAATAGCCACCTGCTTAGCTACTGCAAGAGAATTACACAGACTGACTACAAACAACAGCATGACAAAGTAGTAAAGACTTTGGAATATCTGCAAGAAATATCACTTGCCTACAAGGAAGAACTGGGTCACTTTAGAACTCTGACAGACAAACACTTGCCATACAGCACCCCAGACGTAACAAATGTCAATAAGAAATGCAAAAAAGTCTGGATAGTAGATGAGGCAATACACAGAGCCAGCAGAACAGAAGAGAAAGAAGTAAAGAAAAGAAGGACTAGGGCTGACATGATAGCAGTATTCCAATACTTGAGGGGGGTCAACTTATTTTCCAAAACACCAGAAGGCAAGAGAAGAAACTAATCAAGGAGAGAAGCAACCTGGAATTAAGGAGAAACTTGCCAACAGTGAGGACAATTAACCAGTGGAGCAGCTTTGCCTTCAGAAGTTGTGGGTGCGTCATCACTGGAGGTTTTAAAGAAAAGACTGCACAGCCATTTGTCTCAAGTGGTATAGGGTCTCCTGCTTTGAGCAGGGGTTGGACTGGAAGACCTCTAAGATCCCTTCCAGCTCATTTCTGATTCTGAAGCCAGATATTGCTTTGGAACCTGACTGCCAGAGGAATATACCTTTAGTAACTAAATAGCTTGAATTTATAGTTTCTAAAGATAGATATCAGTGGTACTAACTCCTGTTTCACCCAAACCATGGTAATGTCAGAGTAAGACCTCTGCTGAGCAGAATCAGTTGGCAGAATAAAGGTTTGTGTGGTTAGGAGGAAGGATTGGTAAACAAAAAGGAAAAAAAGGCAGAAGATTAAGAAAAAGCAGAACTGCATACAGAATGAACTTCAGCTTGAATACAATTATTATCCTTTCTTCTTTGATGCTATCTAGCAAAGAACTGCCAGTGTGGTGTTAAGGATTTTGGAGGCAGAACCTCACCCCCCCGCCTCTAGTTTCATAATTCCAATGAATGCCTGCCCAGGCCATAATATAATATGTGACAGGAAACTGAGGTCTGGAAAAAAGTCCAAAAGCCTGTTAATTTGTTTTACCTTTCATATAAATATAGCTAACTAGCAGAACTTCAGTGATGGGATTGACCTCATCGACAAGCTTAGAAATCTTCCCACGGGTTTTCCTTTTGATGTAGCTGTTGATGTGCTGCTCAGTTGCTGCAGTGTTCTTGAAGTTTTCCCAAAAGATGTCTCCTCCATATAGGTTTTTGAGGCCACTTAAGAACTGCTCTTCAGGATATAGCTGGTTTTGCACAAAGAGACATTTCCCGATTTCCATCTGGTGTCCAACCCCTCCATTATTTAGCATGCATGTGAGATCACGGAAGCCTTCATGTATCATCCTCTCCGGGATCTCTGATGGCCTAAAATCAAGTCCTTTCAAAATCTGATCTAAAGTGTTATCCTTTGCACCCAAAGCCAGCATTGCAAAGGCAGAGGAGATGCATAAGGGAGAGAAGACAGCATTGCTCTTGCTTCTGCCACCTTGATGGCTCTCACTGGAGGAGACCTCCCTGAAGAGCTTGAAGGCAAAGTCAGAATTACTGTCAACTAATACTTGTATTGGTGTCCGGGCATCTCTTGGGTTAGGTTCATACTGGTAACTGTCACAATTATTCTCGTTAGGATGGATAGAAATTTGAGGGTAAGAATTGTCAGCAAGGATTCCAGCAATAAACAAGAGAAAGATGGTTTTCATTTTCCTCCTCTAAGAAATTGTGAAAAAGAAAATGCATTTGTTCATTTAGCAGATTATTTTTTATTTTATTCATTTAAAAGACAATTCAATTAAACTCTGATATGTTATAGGCATAAATAAATATTGCATACAATACCACCAGTTCTTAGCTACAATGCCATACTAGTTCCCACCAGCAGATGCCACTATTTCTCAACATAAATCACTATTTCTCAAATGAAAATATCAGTTGAATTTAATGATATAGTTAAACTGGCAATATTTACCCTAGTCTCATTCGTTAAAGTTCCACGCTGATCACAGAGAAATAACTATTACTATATTATATCCAATCTTATTTATTTCTATCTCTTTACTACTTTCAGCATCTTTCTCTAGATTCTTGTCTTAAGAATGAGTATTTATAGCACAACCATCCTTTAGGCATTGTTCTAACTCCTTAGTTCTAGGTTGGTGCAAATGTTTCATATATTGCCCCACATATTTGCCCATCTG